TTTTATGATTATTCTGTATATACTCTTCTTTTATCTATGATCTATATATCTAGATCGAATGAATAATATAATTTAGTAAAAACTAGTTTTTATTTACTAATTATATACTCATTATAATTTATAAATTATAAAACATAAACTTTATTTTGACAAATATAGAACCGTGATCATCTGTTTAAATCTCGATCACTAGCCTTCTATTTTTATGTTGCCCACATCACTCCCCTTTATTTAATACAAATTTAAGTATATATCATGGTTTCAAACTACAATGTAGTAACCACAGTAAATAATTTGCCAATTTAAAATATGAAACATCGATGAATAATTGCTTAGGAATTTATCACGTGTTCATCAGAATATAAGAAATACGATGGTAATTTCGTGAGCAAACTCCGACTTCATTCATTGAATCTGCATATTTAATTCTCTATGTAAATATACATTTCTGTACATATATATATATATATATATATATATATATATATATAATACACAAATATAATTTTGTGGTATAATAATATAACTTTTACCTAAAGACACACCCTGCTGAATTTGAAAAAACTGCAGTCCCAAGACATAATTTGAATTCTTCAATGCGACCATTTGGATTACAATTTTATAAATTAATGTCATATATTATTTAAAAAATTTCACTTTTTGGCAATTTTTAGTTAAGAAGTCATATAATAATCTTTCACGCTTTTGGTTCGGTGTCTGGGAAATTGTTTTAACGGAGTTTTATCATAATTAAATTAATATCCATATACTTTAACTATTATGTGGATTATTTAAATTTAGCGATGTACACTAAAATCGTTTTTTTAACAGTTATGTAATTTTTACTTCTTAAACATTGCTAGTAAGAATCTTTTATTAAACATGACGTGAATGTAAGCATGTTTATTACTTCAAATAATATTGTTCTTATGCTAAGTACATGACATCATCTTTTTATAATGTTTGTATAACTCAAAGATATATATATATATATATATATATATATTTGTATTTGTATAGTTTTAGTATTTTCAAGATCACTTGCCAAATATTTGGCTAAAGATTTTCACCGTATATTGAACAATTTGATTTGTTCATGAATCAGTTTCATTAATATCATCTTTTACACGCTATTTTTACATGTAATTTCTTTTACCAACTATTACATAGAAAAAATGTAAAACATTTCATCATTAAAAAATACAGACCTTCTTTGTTTAGAAAAGAAAACTTTTGCTGAAATAAGTATGTATTTAAATAATCTATGTGACTAATTATTAAAATTTTCTCATGGTATTGCTTAACTTTAAAATATCTTTCTGGGAAATCATTTGTGTACAATGGGCGTTTTGTTTGTAATTAATGAAAATGTATTAAAAAGTATATAGTTGCTAAATATAATTACTAAAATTAAAGTTAACCAATCTTTTCGTCCTTCGTAATACTATTACGATAAAATATCAAATCTCTTTTATAAAAATCAGATAATTTAAAAAATATTTTACACTTTTATATTATACTTATATTTATACTTTTATATTGTACTTTATATTTTAGTTTTGCTTTAATATCTCGATATTGTGGTATGTAGTATATATTGTAGTAGTTTGTCATTATATAACGGTCAATATATATTATATAATTATTTTTTTTATTAGTTTCGATACTATTGTGTGTCATCATTCAGGTAAAATAATATAAAATACTTTCTGTAATAAGAAATTATTTTCAAAGTTAAAAATTAAATAAACACAAAATCATTGTCAAATATTTTTTTATTTAGTTTATATTATAATTTTACCTTTTATTTTAATTATTGTTGATTTGTAATTACTATTATTTTTATTTTTTTTTTTTTTCATATTATTTAAATTATAGTTTCCTTCTTATATCATCTCTGCAACTCATATAGTCATTTTGACTCTGATTGTTATAATTAAATAAATAATAATAATAAAAAATAATTGATTTTTTGGGGTGATCTAGGTAAATTTACCCATCTTAATAATTTTATATTATGTTTGGGTTTTCATAATATTTTGAAATTGAAGTTTCTGTTATTAACAGATTACCTTAAAAGTAAATCTGTTTCTCTAAATCCTGATTTCCTGCAAAAATATTCTAATATAAACTATATATTGACTATATATAGTCTATTATAGTGTGTAATTTTTGGATTATTTTTTTTAAATTAATTATTTAGTGTTTTTTCTTGTTTGATATACATAATTTGATTATTTAGTATTATTATATTATTAAATATTTTTTGTATATTTTAGCTTAATGATGAGACACATTTTGTTCTTGAAACTGTACTATAAAATAACCGGACTGTAAAAGACGTTTTATATAAAAGATATTATTTTAAATTGTTTTTAATTATTTTAAACACACAATTTCTGCAAATAGTGCTAATGCCATTGGTCAGTAAAATTTACATGATAATTTGGATTTCAATTATTTACTTTTACCTACATCGATTTTTTAATTATTTTAATTAAATTCCTCTATTATCTACTATCGACTAAAGATTTCAACATCAGACTACTTCTACTACGACGGCAGAGCCGTATATTTGCGTGAATCTAAATAACCGTGTGATTTTTATTTCAAAGAAAATATATGTTTCTAAAGCACATTCTCTATTATTCTGGATTAGTAAAATGCGTTACGTCAAAAACAAGCGAAAGAATAACAGACATTTCCTGATGCTTAATGCCGAATTAAGTACTAACTGCCTTTCCACTTAATGAACCTCTCTTACTCAATGTCAAACATATGATTTATTTCGTATTAGAATGTAGATTTTGCATAAGTGGTAATATATAAGCACTTATAAATATATAGCATATTGGTAAATATATTCTAAATTTATATATAGATTAGGAACTTGAAGTCCATTCCAATGGGAGAAATGTAGCTTATATTTTTTCCAACGAAGGTGTCTATCTGGAAAGGATTTTGTTCCAGGTTGAGATTTATGCCCGGATTAAGTTAAAGACTGTGTAAAATTGCATTTTGCGATGAGAGATAATTTTTTTCTAGTACACGAAAGTCCTTATCGAGGTACACCGATAGCTTCTAAATATAATATTTCAAATCGCTACAGCCGTTTTTGAAAAAAAAAAATCAAATTCTGGTATAGGTACGATATATTATTTCTTCTAATTTCGGTGTCAAACAATTCAGAATCTCTTGAAACGTCGAGAAAAGATAAAATTAGTGAATGGCGGATTTTGTGGTGAAAACATAAACTTTTCCTTCGGACAGAGTTAGAAAAAGCATTAACAAAAATATGATTCAAAAGTGTATTTAATTCTAAATTCAAAACTTTTATTTGTAAAAAGATGTACTTGTTTTATTTTTAGTACCTGCATCTTAAAATCGCTTATATTAACTGTTATCATTCATTCGATATTAAGGATTGCAGTATTAATTTATATTTTTGTACATCATATAAATTATGTTATTATTTATTATTATTATTATATTATCTTATTATTTCTAATATTGTTATTTTGTTATATTTATTATTTTTTCACACTTATTGTTATTATTCTACTTTATTGTTTTTCTAGTATTATTTTTATTATTCAGAAATTTACTTATTTACTTATAAATTTTATTATTATTATTATTTGTTTTTATTTTATATTAAATCAACATACTACGGATATCATTTTATTGAAAATTCTATCCTTTATTTTGTGCTCTCTTTATTATATTTATATAATTGTTCTTTACTGTTACTAGATGTTAATTATTTAGCAGTTGTAACAAATATAGTAATTAAAAAAAAAAGGTGTAAAACTTTATTTATGAACAAGTATGTGTTTAAGTTGCATTGAAAGAATGTTATTCGAACATCATTTTTGAAAGAATTTAATTTTATCAAATTTTAAATTTTCATTATGAACCACGTTATGTTTATAAGATGATGATAAATTTAAATGATGTAAAAGATACCAATATATCAGAATATATGTTAAATATTTTATATTTGTTATTTTAGTTATGAATCACATTCTTGTTTGTTCATTTTTTACATTGTTTTCATTGTTCGTATCTATCGTCTATAGAATTACCATATTCGAAGAAAAAGTTTAATTTATTATTATACTTCATCAGTGAATTTAATGATAAAGTTGAAATGATTTAAAAGAAAACTACAATCATCTGTTGTTTTCCACATGTTTTTCTTCAGTTCAAGGCTAAGATTATCCGTCAGTAGATTTCTCTTTTTTTCTAAAAACGACAGCATTTGATTATGTGGTGAATTAAATTTTAATTTAGACCTAGAATAATTTACAAGTATATGAATTGAAAAAAATTATTCAATTTCTGATGATTCGATCCATTCATTCATTTGATGAAACACGTGTAGGGTCGAAACGTAAAATAGATAATTTTCTATATTTATATATTTTTTTCCATACTGGCATTTTAAACTTGTATTATAATATTTCATTCGATTCATCAAAATTACATGAGCACCTTCTATTTCCAGATATATTTTGTAACATAAATCATAATTCAATATTGTAATAATTCTATAATTTCTCCGGGCTATATATGCTATTGCATACGATCATTTTTAGCCATAGAGAATGCCTCGTTTTATATCTTATATAACCATTATAACATAAAACTGTGACATAAAACTTTCATTCCAATTTGCATAGTGAGAAGAACTAATATTTTGACATATCGACATTATTTACACTTAAAAGTGAAAGTTTTTTTTAAAAACGTGCTCTTATATCATTTAGTCAACAAAGTCATAAATTTGTACTTCTATTAAAATTAACCAAAAAAAAAATCTTTAATAGAGAAGGTTAATTTTCCGATAAGTAAAGCATCGGTAACTTCTTGTATTTCATTATTTAATTTAATTATATGATTATATTTATATCGGTAAAACAGAGTTTCCAATTGTACTTAGTCATGTATTTAATTTTTTGCTCATAAGTATTCATTCACCATCGATCTAATGAAAGGAAATGCCTTCAGCACCTTATATAGAGGTATGTAAAACGTGGACATAATAATATAAATATGAATAAAGTTCTGTTAGCAATAATAATTAGTTTTACTAATTTAATTCAAATCAGCCGGAAGACAGTCTATGTGGTAATAATTTAGTCAGTTCAAAAAAAAGTCGAAATTCATCTCTTCTCTATGTTGCAACTTTTTAACATTGAACTGTCTATTTTTATTAGTGCTAATTACCTCAGCGCACAACTATTTTGTCAATAATTGTTTTTGAAATGATGAAATGAAATGTAAGCATAAGCTCTTAGCCTTACTTATTCTTCTCTTTGACCAACTTCATTATTACTTATTCCTTTCCTAGCCTAATTCATTCTTACTTATTCTTACTTCTTTTTAGCCAAATTTATTCTTTTTTATTCTTCTTCCTATCCTAATTCGTTCTTACTTATTCTTCTTCTTAGCCAAATTCGTTCTTACTCATTTTTCTTGTCATCAAAATTCATTCAGGCTTATTCTTCTTACTAGCCAGTTTTATTATTTTTCTTAATGTTGTTCTTTTAATTCTTCTTAGTCAGATTCATTCTCACTTATTCCTGTTTTTAGATTCCAGATTCACTGTTACTTATTCTTCTTTTTAATCAGATTCATTCTTATTTGTTCTTCTTTTAGCCAAATTTATTCAATTAGTGAAATTATTTATTCTTACTTATTCTGTTGTTTATCCAGATTCATTCTTATTCTTTCTTCTTCTTGGTCAGATTAATTCTTACTTATTCTTGTTTTTAGAATCCAGATTCATTGTTACTTATTCTTCTTTTCAACCAGATGCATTCTTACTTGTTTTTCTTTTATCCAGATTCATTCTAACTTGTTCTTCTTCCTAGACAGAACCATCTTGCTCATTCTTCTTCTTCCTTAGCAAATAGCTAAATCAGGCATAATTATTCATTCTTGAGTCATTATCACAACAATTGATTTCATAGATGATATCTTCATTATGTGAGCATATGATATTATACGATTTCTGCATTGTTCTTATTTCTATCCAACTGGTATGTGTAGAATTGGGACAGTTGCATATAGCGTGCTATGGATGGTGTCGCAATTTAGTTCACAACTGTTGTGTACGGTCACGTTAATATTTATATGGAGAAAAAAGATTTACAATATTGCTTCTATCTATATCACACTGGTTCGAATGGATTCTGGAACTGGTACACATGATAGTAACAAGAGTAAAGGATAAAGTAATATGAATGGTATTAGACTTTAGGTATGGCACGTGGGAATATTGGAATGTAGAAGTTAAGACTTTGTAATATTTTAGAATTATTTGATGCAGATTGTCCAAAAATCTGGTTGTTTGTAAACATAAATATCTGTACTTTGTGATCTCCATAGATGATCTATGGTTACTTTCAAGCAGAAGTAGCCTAGTAATGATTTTCACTTACTTTAGAAATTCTATCTATTTACCTCAATCTTGGACTTAGGTCAATGTTGTTTATTCCAAAGTGCATGAATACAAATTGTTGTGCACTTGACTTTTTGTTCTAATGTAAAGTATTATTATTTATTCTATGTATTCATTTGCAGCCTCATGGGACATTTGAAGACAGTAACGTTTTCTTTGCAAAACAATATGTTTTAATTGCTGCTGTATTTACAATAGAGTATTTATTAGTATGTTTGTGAAATGTTAATATATGTCTAGTCACTTTAAGACGCCTTGCTTAGGTTTTTTTAACTGCCGAGCAAGTATACGCGTTCGTGAATGCTTACGCAAATTATTTGCTACGCTTATATAATAGACAGTTAACATAATTTTCATACTACCTCGAACTATATTTGTTTTTGCGAAATAGATTGTTCATCGATTAAGAAAACGATGTTTATTTAATGAGATTAAT